GAAAAAAATTAATTGGCCAACTAAAACATATAGAAACATTAGGCAGGCATAGAGTGCATGCCTGTAGTCCCAGCTACTTTGAGGCTGAGGCAGGAGGATCGCTTGAGCCAGGAGTTGGAGGCTGTGTGACGAGGCTGACGCCACGGCACTCACTCTAGCCTGGAACACAGTGAGGTCTGTCTCAAAATTTTAAAAAAAGGAGCTACGATGTCACCTGGGATATGTCCAAATCCAATTCTCATGAGCCGTCTCGGTGGTTCCCACGTATTTGTTTAATAACTAACGGAACCTGCCTCGTGCGGCCCTGGTAGATAGTGTCGCACGTACCGGGAGTATGATTAACTTGACCTTCTGCACCTGGTGTGTGTGAAACAGCAGTGCATGACAACGATGTCGTCATCGTCACCGCTCCAAAAATTTTAGGGTACGAGACGTTTAGTAATAATCCTGAATATTATATATATTTTGAATCCATATGGAAAATGGCATTTTGTCACTTAACCAATGATATAATTTCTGACCTATATTTTGGGGTCTTTTGTTTTCCTTATGTATTTTTTTTTCCTCTTCCATTGTGTTTACTCACTTTTTTTTTTTTTTTTTGAGCTTTCTATTTATAGTAGGACGGGTCTTCGCTCTTGCTCAGGCTGGTTCGACTCCTCGACCTCGAGCGATCCTCCCGCCTCGGCCTCCCAGAGTGCTAGGATGACAGGCGGTGAGCCGCCGCGCCGGCTCTTTTACTCACTTTTAATAATTTATTCCATCTTATTTTCTTTTTCTCCGCTCCTGCCTTATAGATCATCAGTGATAGCGCCCAGGATGCTTCTAGCAGGAATTATGAGAGACGGTGGATTCAACCCTCCCTTCCTTGGTTTTGTAGACAGGGTTGAAAACAAGGAAGTGATTGCCTAAGGTCATCGCATCTTCTGGGACAGTCGCCCGCCCTGGTTTTCTTTTGCTTTGTCTGAAGGCAGGCAGGCTCTGTGGAGTAGCTGTAACTCAGCCTCTCTGAGCTCTTTCAGTTGTCGGTGGTCAACACAGGAGGTCTAGTGGTTTCTCTGCTCATCTTTCAGGTGGTTATACAGCAAAATGAGCCAGAGAGCATGGAAGTTACTTGCAAAATGTAAAGTCCAGGCCGGGTAGGGTTGGCTCACGCCTGTAATCCCAGCACTCTGGGAGCCGAGCGGAGATCGCTCAAGGTCAGGGGTTCGAGACCAGCCTGAGCAAGAGCGAGACCGTGTCTTACTAAAAATAGAAAGAAATTAATTGCAACTAAAATAATATATACAAAAATTAGGGCGGCGGTGGCGCATGCCTGGTAGTCCCAGCTACTCGGGAGGCTGAGGCAGGAGGATTGGTTCGAGGCCAGGAGTGTAGTTGTTGTGACGAGGCTGACGCCACGGCACTCACTCTAGCCTAGAAACACAGTGAGACTCTGTCTCAAAAAATAAATTAAATAAAAAAAAACCAAAATAAAAAAATTATCGTGAAGATGATTTTGTATCTGACTTAAATTAACGATAAAGTCAGCTTTACGTCCTAACTTCTGGGGTCTCAGCAATTGAGGGGACATCTTTTTCCCCAAGACCAACCTAAGAAAATTTACGTCCGCACATAGGCACTACAGCTTCTAGAACTTTCCTTGGCCTAAAAAGATAACAGCGAATATATCTCTTTGGCTAAAGAGCGAGTCTCGCTGGTCTTGCAGGGCGTTTAGCTCAGTGTGTTGGTGGCCGGAGGGTCGCAGTTTTGCACAGGAATGTCCTTCTCGGGGTTCCATGTTGGCCATTGCAAGTGAAAGGTGGCAGTCATCCTTGACAAAATGAGCATGTGGCCTCAGGGTCCTTCTGGACACAGTGACCCAGACACCTGCTGCCAGGTGCGGGGCGATGGCAGTCCACGCCTCGCCTGTTGGCCCCTCGGTTAGTCGGCTTGGCTCAGAGGCAGCCAGTTGTGTCACTGAACTTGAATCGGTTCGATCTCAGCCAACTCCCTGGCATTTTTGTGCTGCGGTTCTTAGCTAATCTTCCGTCCCCGGCCACCGTGTCTGTCTCTGAGCCACGTCACTGCCAGAAAAGCCACGACAAAGCGACTCGTTGTATTTAGTGAAACTAAATACAGAACGGGGTGCCAGGCTCCATGGGGGTTGGTATATGGTTTTTCCAACCGATTTGGGGAACACAGAAAAGCTTGGGGGGTGTCCGTTGTGTCTTTTTGCTCATCTTCTGGTTTTTTGGTTTTTTTTTTTTTTTTTTTGCAACAGAAGCAGAAGAGAAGGGGCCGGGGGTTATAGGCTAAGATGATTATCTTGCATCTTCTGACGGATGCAGGACTGTGGGGAGCTGTTAGCAGACTTTTTCCACGTGTGCTTGAGTTCAGCAAGAACAAGGGTCTTCAGGGCATTGCAAAGGGCAGGTGCAGGATAGTTCTAGAAAAGCAACGACCACAGGTACCTTTTCAGGAGCTTGAGAAAAGGGGCCACGCCTAGCAGCTTTTATTAAAAATGTATAAATACCCTGAGGACTCTGTATGCATTTCACAAATGCCCAAGAAGGTGCATATGTTGGCATAGAAATTCTTTTTTTTTTTTCCTCCCTTGTTTTGCTTTCATAGAATTAGCAATACACGCCTTATTCTCTCCATGCTAGAAAATTCCGATTGCCTTTGCTGCCGGCTTAATTTCTTTCTTTCTTTCTCTTCTTTCCGCTTTACTGTCCCAGCAGGGAGATCTGTCTCGGGCTGTTGACACAGCGTTATTTGGATGAATGACTCACCGATATCTTCTTTCTTTTCTCCATTCTCTGGTTAAGTCCAGTCACAGTTTCATTTGAACCTTGTCTGCGGGAGTCTAAGGTCCGAAAAACTCTTTCAAGTTTCCTTGCACAAAATTGACCTCCAAGTCCCCCTCTTCCTTCCAACCTCTTAAAAAAAAAAGATACGTTTAAGCGAAATATTATTAAATGGTTTTTGCACGCTTTTTTAAGAGCAACTGACTTTATTTTGGCTCCATTTTCGCCAGCCCCTTCATGTTTTGTGATGGTGTCGCGGCTTTTCCTTGTGTAATTACGGCGTGTCACATTTGCCTGGTGACATAGATTATCTTGGTGGGTGTTTTGGAGCTTGCTCTTATGTGGAGGTAAAGTCTGCAGAACAGAGAGACAGAGAGACCAGGAGACTCAAGGCTGAAGCGTCAAGAGGGGAAAAAAAAAAAATAAATGTGTCTCCAGGAAGCGTCTCATTATTAAAATCCAGGAATAATCACAGTTTTCTCCTCACTTTGGAGAATCTATAAAAAGTGTACCTGGCAGCAAGACGTGGGTGCTAAACTGAGGCATGCACTGTGATCTCAGTTGTGTATTAGTTAGGAGCTTGGTTTGGGTCGGATCCGGTGATTATAGTCTAAACAAGTTGGCTCTTTCTCTGACACAAAAAGCAACCAGTGCAAGAAAACGAGGCGGGTTATGGAGGTCCTGTGGCAGCCCCCCAAACTCATCCCAGGCCCCATGCTTCTGGTTTCTTTCTGCCCCACCATCCTATACAAATGGCTTTCCTCCTCGGGGTCACAAAGTGGCTGCCGTAGCTCCAGCCATGGAATCTGAGTTCCCAGGAGAAGGAAGCAAGGAACAGAAGGTTAAAAGGGCCTTCCCAGGAATCCCCCCCACCTAGTGAATTCTGTCGCCATCTCTTTGACCACCTCTATTTCTAGGGGAACTTCGGAAAATAGGAGGTTCTGTTGCCAAGGGCGAAGGGGAGAACGGATGTTGAGGGAGCGACCTGGAGTCTCAGCCCCTCCGAACCATCTCCTTAATCTTACATTTGGTGACGATTTCAGACTTTCTGTGTCAGAAATCGTCGCCAATATTTTGAAATAAAAACTGTTAAAAAAAAAAAAAAGGAAAGAAAAAAGAAATTGTCCCCATTTGCTCGCAGTTGAGAGGCATCACGGGTTCCCGTCACAAATCTGCGCTGTCCGGTTTCCTCGTCTGCGTTTCAGTCTGATCCCTGCCCCGTACTGATGTTGGCAGCAACCCCTCTGGTTCTTCCCTTTCTTTTCTATAGAGATGGAAGCAATAACAGCGCCTGCTCTATAGTGTGTTATGAAGATGAATGTGTGTGGCTTAGAACAGTGCCTGGCAAATTCTGACTATAGTGTAAACGTTTGCCATAGTGTATAATGAAGATAAAGGGGTGTGTGTGTGTGTGTGTGTGTAGCTTACAACAGTGCCTGCCAAATTCTGACTACAGTGTAAATGTTTGCCATAGTGTATAATGAAGATAAAGGGGAATGTGTGTGTGTGTGTGTGTGTAGCTTACAACAGTGCCTGGCAAATTCTGAGTATAGTGTAAATGTTTGCCATAGTGTATTATGAAGATAAAGGGGAATGTGTGTGTGTGTGTGTGTAGCTTACAACAGTGCCTGGCAAATTCTGACTACAGTGTAAATGTTTGCCATAGTGTATTATGAAGATAAAGGGGAATGTGTGTGTGTGTGTGTGTGTGTAGCTTACAATAGTGCCTGGCAAATTCTAAGTACAGTGTAAATGTTTGCCGTGGTGTTTTATGAAGATAAATGTGTGTGTGTGTGTAGCTTAGAACAGTCCCTGGCAAATTCTGACTATAGTGTAAATGTTTGCCATTACCATGGCCACCGTTCTTTAAGCTGGGTCCCGTATGTGCTGAGCTGCGTGCTGCACGCTTTGCGTGCATTGTCCAACGTCACACTCGAGACGGCTCTGGCAGGGAGGTCCCCGTATTTCACCCTTCAGTGACTCGCCCAAGGCCCCTGAGCTAGTTGGGAAGAGCCACCGCTCACAGCCAGACCCACTTCCCAGTCGGGCTTCGTGCCTCCGCACCTGCTCC